CCCCAAAACCCCAAAACCCCAAAACCCCAAAACCCCAAAACCCCAAAACCCCAAAACCCCATTCAGGCAAATTAGAATTGAAACTATTATAGTCTACAACTTCATGGCGTTAAGAATTTTAGATGCGACATCCCTATACTTGGTGATATCTCCGCTCGTCCTGAGGATTCTGACAATGTAGACAAACTCCAGGTTTTCCATCTTGGTCAACTCCATTTCGAACTTAATTGAGCTTTTTTGGCATTTAACGAAGTATTTGCCTAATCTTTGGAAGGAGACGCTGAACATGTCTAGAGACCTAACCATATCATTCATGGTTGCTTGAGGATCTTTTGTGGTACTTCAAGAAACTGAGAATGGACCTCGGTAGATCTTCATATCATCAGTAACCTCTGTAGGAGTAGTTATACTCTCGCTTTGGAGAATATCAGACTCCCTGACAGAAGAGCTTTGGTCCTGGATAGTTCTGAAGTTTGTTTGATTGATATTCTTGTGTCTAACTGAAGTACTAGCATCATCGATTCCGATAGTTCTGCTATTTTCAGCTACTCTGGTATGATCATATGTCTCACTCTGCTTCTTAGCAGGAGGATTTACAGAACTGTTCTTCCCTTGGGAATCAACAGACTGGGTCAGGAAACTCTTGACTTGTGCTTTCTTAGTCTGAGCGCCACTTGGAATGTTGTTCAAATAATGATTACTCGTCTTTGGTCTACTAGAGTAACTATTATTCGTAGTGTTATCTCTCCTCTTAGAAACCGCAACTCCATATGAGTTAATACTAGTTTTTGGCTTATTTGTCTTATACACAGGTTTGGTCTTGCTTTTAAGTGTATTTCTCATAGCATTATAGCCTTTTTCGATATCTCTAGCAGCCTTTTCCTTCTCATCTCTAGAGTCTCTCCTGAAGCTGGAGGAGTTCATATCATTGTAGTGCTCCTTGACCCTAGAAGCACTCAGCTTCTGCCAAGGCTGTACCTCCCCGATAGAATTATTAAACTCATCAGGCATGGTATGGTTTAGATTGGCTTCATTCTGAGAAGTTCCCATCGAATTCTTTGTTATTTTAGAGTTACTGTGAGGAGTCATTGTCTCTTTTTTCTCCCCCCTCTCATTGACCTTGACATAATCAGATATCATGATTGCTTCATTAGGCTTGTTCGGTGGGAGTTCGTCTACAATATGCTTTGGCTTCTCAGCTTTGTGATAACTTTGATCTGCTGGCATTTCTTCTTTCTGAGTAGCCTGGCCTCTTCCAACTGTTAGCTGGATGTCTTTCTTAATAGCGTTGAAACTATTGTCATAGGACACATTTATCCCAGCCATTTGTTCAGCTTTGCTGGTCTCCAGATAAACTTTGTGAATAGGCACATTTGCAGATGTAGGAATAACCTTGTTAATAGACATTGAGTCATTGTTTTTACTCTCCCCAGAAGGCAAAGTCTGGTTTAACTGATTTTTCACAAAATAATCAGCATCAACTCTTTGGCTAACTGACAAATGTTGCGGATATTTCGGAGGCTGGGTCATATTCTGATCGTCAGTCATTAGCTGCAAGCTATTCTGCAATGCTTTCTTCTTCTGAGGATTCTCCTTCTCATACTTTTTAAGCAGAAGATAATAAGTCGTGGTTTCATGATTGTGTTTATTGGCTCTGATATATTTAGCAGCTAGTCTCTTATCAAAACGATATTCTTCGAGAAGGTCTAAAACTTCTTCATTAATAGGTATGTCTTCATTATCAATTCTGTCGATATAAACTGCACCTTTGTTATATTGTTTGAACCAAGGATGTTGTCTCACATCAGCAGCTTTGTACCTTTTTTCAGGCTCAGTGGATAGGATGCACTTCATCAGATTCCTAGCTCCAGTAGAAACATATTTTGGAATTTCGAAGCTTCCTGACAAGATCTTTTTATATAATTGAGCAGTATTAGGATCTTCGAATGGTAAGTATCCTCAAACTAGAGCGAATAGGATTACTCCTCAGCTCCAAATATCAACGTTGCTTCCATGGTATCTCTTGCCAGCGATCATCTCAGGCGCTGCATAGCAAGGTGAGCCTCACGCGGTCTTGAGCTTCTCTCCGACCTTATAAGTATTGGATAACCCAAAATCTACGATTTTTATTTCCTTGTTGTGATCTAGAAGTAAGTTCTCAGGTTTTAAATCTCTATGTACAATTCCTAAATTATGTAAGTAGTTGACTCCGTTGATGATTTGATGGAAGAACTTGGCCGCTTCAGGCTCTTTGACTTTTCCTTTATTTACAATATACTCAAATAGCTCGCCTCCAGATGCATACTCCATGATCAGGTATAGTTGCTTGCCAGTCTCGATAATTTCATATAGCTGGATAATGTTCGGATGTCTGATCAGCTTGAGAATATAAATCTCTCTGGCAACGCGTTCCACATCTGCAACTTCCATGATTTTATCTTTTTCCAGGATCTTGACTGCGACCTTCTCTCCAGTGTAGATATGGACTCCAAGCTTGACCTTACCGAAGGTACCCTCTCCAAGAGTCTTTCCGAGGACATAATGGCCAATGTTTTTTGTCTTGACTTTCTTGCCAGAGCTCATATTTATAACAAAATATTGTTTCAAAATTATTTAAAATTAAAGGGGTTTTGGGGTTTTGGGGTTTTGGGGTTTTGGGGTTTTGGGGTTTTGGGG